AATCAGTTAGCAGTTAGACAGGATGGACACGATGGATATAGCTACGGATACGAGAGATTATTGGAGTTATATTATCGGCAGTAGCAATATTGATTTTTCCCAGTTCCAATCGTCAAGAACTGGCCGTGGTCCGTTATTGAATGGATGGCAGGTACGTAATTTCTCGTTCATTTAAATATTTTGTCAATAAATATCGAAAAATTAATATATTTTATTTTGCAGGAGCGATGCGATCCAGTTATGACGGCTTACAAGTTGGTGACAATCGACGCTCCGTATTGGGGCTTTGGTAGTAGGCTTGAACAAGCTCTTCTCGCGGTATATAAATATTGCTCTTCATAGTCGTGAAAAATATGATTTTTAATTAATTTTTTTGATTTATATTTCCACTAATGTAACGAGTTGCTCGTGTGATTTAAATATGGCAGGGCGAAAGAGCACTTTTCCTCGAAAGTCATAGAAATTGTTTTGGATGGATCGACGAGTGGTTTGGGCTGCCTATGGAGATGATGCGCGAGCTCGAAAAAGAAAGCGATTCTTCACTAAACAAGGTGAAATTGAACTAAATCTAGCCCTTTAAAATATTTTATTTAAATGATTAATTAAGTGAAATTGCAATAATTAATTGTGGTAAATTCTAATACTATTTTGATGCAGAAACTTGGTAGGACTAGTGTGGTGGAAAATGAGGAGGAATCAGAAGATATAAGAACTGTTCCCACGTGTTGAATTGATCTCTAGCCCTTTATAATTTTTATTTTTATTTTTTATTTACTATTTATGGTGATCAAAAAATGTAATTTTAGCAATCGAGTATCTAATTACAGTATCAAGTTTTTTGATTTATTCTATGTGACTAATTTTCGCCGCGACGACCTATTCTTTTGCTTGAGGCGCAGCAAATTATTTTCCAAAAAAATTCCTCCTTTCAAATATTTTTACATAAAAATTTATGTAATTCGGTTATTACCGCACCAAATTGTATATTTAGCTCAGCAAAACGGTATGAAATGTTGGCATACCGAAATTTTGGTTTAATTTTACCGATTTAGCATTCCTAAATTTTTACCTCCAAAGGGGTATTTGAGTAACATAATACATAGTTGAGGAGGGTGGATCTAATTACCAAAACATGAGGGGTTTTCGTAATTTGACCATAACGCATGAGTGGCAGTAATTGCTCAATAAATAAATAATGGACAAAGCATTTCTATAGCATGACGGTACAAAAATAAAAATTACATAAAATAACCAAAACATAATATTATTAAATTAAAAAATATATTATATTAAATGAGGTAGGTGGGCCGGGCTTTCTCCATGCGGGTTTCGCCATGGGCTTCTTCATTGTCAATGGATTTGATGTGGCGAAAAGCGGCCCAAGCGACGACGTATAGAAGAACAAGGATAATTAAAATAACAATATTAATAACGGAGACTTTTCTCCAGCTTGTCTTGAGGCTGGCTAACACGCCGGCTTTGCATGAGCCGCAGCCGTAGCAGAGCTGCAGCTGATCGTTGCTCCAGCGTAGGCAGTCGGTGTCAATCCCGGTCAACCCCTCGCCTGGGGCCCAGTACGTCTCGTTCATATACGTGTAGCCGCATGATGTTGGCGGCTTACAACATCCCGACTGCACATTAAATTAAATTAAAATAAATTAAACCATTTCTTTAAAAAAAATTATAATAAAACCTTTTTGGGTTTTCGTAGCTGATAAGAAAGAAAGACATGCATGCAGAGGCTGAAATTGAAATTATTGCAGGCAAAAAATTATGCCGACTTTTCAGGAAAGGGGGAAAGGGATTAAAGAATAAATAAAGATAGTAGAAAGAGAGATAAAAACAAATAAAAAAAGTAAAAGCTCGATATTCTGAATATAAAATAAGAAGTTAAAAAGGCAAAAA